AACAAAGGTACCGTTCGCAGAATCCCAGAATGCAAGAAATAATCAACACCGAAATACGGAAGATGATCGGATCATTGAACCGTCCGACAGCCCCTGGAGTACACCCGTAGTCATTGTGGAAAAGAAGGATGGGAAACTGCGTTGCATTGACTTCCAAAAGCCGAAAGGATGCATACCCTCTCCCGTTTATTAATTCCATACTGGACAAACTAAGAAGGGCCCGATATATTTCTAGTATCGACCTCAAGCAAGGATACTGGCAGATTTTGCTTGCAGGAAAAAGTCAGCCTGTTACTGCTTTCATGGGTCCATACCAGTTTCGAGTAATGCCTTTTGGGTTACATTCCGCGCCCCCTACATTCCAAACGCCAATGGATCGCATTATAGGCCAAGAACTAGATAGTTATTGCTTTGCATACCTGGATGACATTATAATCCTTGGCGAGACTTTTGAGGAACACCTGAACAATTTAACCGAAGTTTTTCGACGTCTTAGAGCGGCCCAATTTACGACTAAATCCGGATAAATGCGAGTTTGGAAAATGTTCCCTCTGATATCTGGGACACTTTGTCACTTCCGAAGGAATCCGTACGGATTCAGACAAAGTAGCGGCAATTCGAAAACTGCCAGTTCCAACCACCTCACCGAAGCCTTAATATTTGGTTTGTCCTGATTTTTCGAAGCCATTTGTATTGCAAACAGATACATCCGATAATGGTTAGGTGCGGCATTAATCCAACATAGTACCAAAGGTGTTCATGTCATTGCGTATGCAAGCCGTATAGTTGGGGTATTGAGAAGATGCGTCTTTACCTGGAGGGTTACCGTTAGCTCCAACAGTTCAACTTCGAAATAATATACCGCAAAGGAGTTCTCGAGACCCGATTCATAGTTCCGAAGTCGAGCCTGTTTCGATTTTAAGCCTGGAAGCCTTTGAACCGTATAGCTGGTATAGTGCTAAGAAGGCCTCCGTGGAGAGGATTCCGACCGATTTCCTGGATTTTGGGGTCTAAAACGAGTACTTATTATACCGCCACTTTTGGGATCTGTCTGATTTAACCGAAAATGAGATGTCCGATCCTTGGAAACTTTGCGTACCCAAAAGAGACATGACTCTCCTATGGCCGGACACCTAGGTATCGCTAAAACAACCGCCAGAATCTGTAGGAAATATTATTGGCCAGGTATGATTAGGGATATAGCTCGATATATCAAAGCTTGCCTCTGCTGCCAACGTTATAAGTAGTAAAAATATACCCGTTCTGTGTCACCGCATGCGCAGTAGGTACTTCCGGTGACATACGCAGTAGCTACTTCCGCTGACCTTGTGCAGTAGCTACTTCCGCTGATTTTGCGCCGCATGCGCAGTAGGTACTTCCGCTGACTTTGCGCCGCATGCGTATTAGCAACTTTCGCTGATCTTGTGTCGCATGCGCAGTAGCGACTTCCGCTGTTTTTGCGCCGCATGCGCAATGGCCATTTCCGTTGATCTTGCGCCGCATGCGCAGTAGTTAGTTCCGCCGTCAAATTGTGGGAAATCTGATGTCATGGTCACAATGCTTATCCATCCTTTAGGATTAGGATCGGTTTTTATACATTTAGTGATGCATCCAACATTGTGGAACCATCGGATGCCAAACCAAACTGTGTTTTCATTTTTGATAATGTCATGTGCGAAAAACAGGATATAATAAGATCATACTTTAGTATGGGCCGACATAAAAATGTGGATACTTTTTACTTAGAGCAAACCTATTCCCGAGTTCCCACACATTTTGTACGTGATAATGCCAACTTAATTATTATGTTCAAACAAGATGAGATGAATTTAAGACATATCTTCTCAGATCATGTTTCTCCTGACATAACTTTCACACAATTTCAGGAGACGTGTTCCAAGTGTTGGGACAATAAATATGGGTTCTCACGTTTATTGTGGAATTCTAAGGCAGCAGGACATACCGGTCATGATAACGAAATTATGTCAATCATAGAAGAGCTTCGTGAGGAGGGTATCACGAGACACGCTACAATTGAATAGATATGGAACCTAGTAATGAAAAACTTAAAATCGTTGGAGAACTTCATAAAGCAGCGAGAAAAAATTTTACTAGAAGACGAACGATTATTAAGGGTTGAGAAGACTTGTGGCAAATAGATTTAGCAGAAATGCAACAATTTGCTGATGAAAATTAAGGGAATCGTTACATTCTTGTATGCATCAATTGTTACTCGAAATATGTATACACTAGAGCTATGAAGAATAAAACAAGTGTCGAAGTTACTAGGGCAATGAAAAGTATAATAGATGAAGCTGCATACGCTCTTGCAAATATACAAAGTGATCACGGAAAGGAATTTTATAATAAGAATTTTTGGGCTCTTATGAAGGAACACAATATTAACCATTATTCAACTTATAATACGATGAAGGCAGCAATTGTAGAGCGGTTTATAATCTCAAATATATTTTGTCAAATTTTCTCCATTTGCAGGAAAATCCGAATTGTGATATTCGAAATATAATATTTCTTGGGCCATGTCCGCTAATTTGCGTGCCAACCACATCGTGGAAATCCAGGTCTTCGTTAATACTTGGTTTGTCATTGTTCGTATCTCACATCTTTAGAAATCTGGGAAATATGAATGTATCCTAATATGAATAAACTACTATACCTTAAAACTTATCACATTTTTCCAAAAATATCAATTTTCATGTTTTACACCGCCTATAATATAAAATCTAATCCAAACACCCAACATTTAAAAGAGTTACCCCCATATGAATGTGAATTTTCAAAAATTACAATTAATGATATTGTCAACTACTTAAGTAAATACCACTCTGTACATCAATTTTGCTAAAGTGTGTCGACGAGTCAGCATTTATTTGGTATAAATACCGCGACAAAATCCATTACCGGCAGACTAAGGCTAGTGCAAAGTCCTCGAATGGGAAAAGCCCCTCTAGCTAAGTCTCCTCCTAATGCAAACTACCTTGAATGGGAAACGCCCTTGTGGGAGTATTGAACGCAGCAGACTAGGTCCAGTGCAAACTACCTTTAATGGGAAACGCCTTTCTGGACCTGTCTTAAACCTAGCTTCTTCTGGGAGCATTGAACGCAGCAGACTAGGTCCAATGCAAACTACCTTTATTGGGAAATGCCCTTCTGGACCTGTCTCAAACCTAGCTTCTTCTGGGAGCATTGAACGCAGCAGACTAGGTCCAGTGCAAACTACCTTTATTGGGAAACGCCTTTCTGGACCTGTCTCAAACCCAGCTTCAGTCTTCAGTCACGCCAAGTGTACAGAGGGTAAATAATACAGAGTGGTCTATAAGTTGTACTTCCTTCCGTAGAAGAGATTATTATTCAATACATTATCTTATTATACCTATACCAAGCGAGTTTCTCTTTACCTGAACCCCATTTACGCCCCCAGGTCACGCACCTGTTGTGACATCCCAGGACGAAACGTATAGGGGTTGTGACAATATGTTTTACACAACCCATAATATAAAATCTATTCCAAACACCCAAAATTTAAAAGGGACTTAGAGTTACCCCCAAATGAAGGCGAACTTTGGCTTAAATGATGAAGAATTCATAATTTCAATGGTGTTCTCCGGTAGCATTTCTGCTACACGTTTTGGTGAAAATAATTCAAAAGTCACATCTTCTATTTTGTCATACAATGAGGTAAGAATAGTTTTACCAAACCGTGTTACCATCGGCACAAGTTTCCCAATTATGTAAACTCCATCCACCTTTAATGAAGAAAGTTTTCTTCTTTCGAGAAAATTAACATCTTTGTTAAGCATATTATTAATAGCCAAGGTATCTTTCGAAAGACTCATAATTTAGGGAAAATGTAATAAATTTTACGGTACCTTGAATACACACCTTTAGAATAATTCACAAACACAATATTTCTATTTAACAGATCGTACTTCAAACGATGTCTGTGTGACTATGATACCTTTTCCTCGTTCGGATAGAGAATTTATAGGTATTTCAGCCCCTTTAGCGGAAATACCTACTAGCCCCTTCAGCGGAAATACCTACTGCGCATGCGGCGCAAAATCAGCGGAAGTAACTAATGCGCATGCGGCGCAAGGTCAGCGGAAGTAGCTACTGTGCATGCAGCGCAAAATCAGTGGAAATACCTATTGCGCATGCGGCGCAAGATCAGCGGAAGTAGCTACTGCGCATGCGGCGCAAAATCAGCGGAAGTAGCTACTGCGCATGCGGTGACACAGAACGAGTATACTTCCACTACTGTTATAAACCATCACAGCAGAAAATTCAAATCAGATGCGACTGTCTCGCAATTCGCAACTGTGGGAGACGGTTACTACCGATCTAATAGGTCCATTACCCCGGTCCACAAAAGGGCATAAATGGGTAGAATACCGACCAATCAGACAGGCGACTGTACCTTTGATTTTATAGTAAAATTCATCTCCATTAAAAATAACATCTCTTGGCTACTTTAGCGCAATGCGACGGACCCTGCATTGTACATCAAACTCAGTTTAATTGAAAGTTACTCCTTACTGCAAAAAAAAAACTACAGGATTCAACTTTAGTTAATGTGCCGTTTTTGATAAATTAAACCATCTAGTCCTTTTGTCCTAGACCTTATTAACAGAAACACCAAAAACTAAATTACGTATTAATATTCCCTGGGCAAGCCGAAAACTTTGCAGCCCCAACTACTGTGCTCATTGCGATAATTCAGTTCCGCTAGCTGCGGAGCTTATAATTTATTTTAAAATGTCATTTGTCATGATTAAAACATATTTGTTCTGCGCGAAAGTTCGAGAACACTGGCCCGGGGTAACTCTTTCGACAAATTACGTTAAATGAAAATTGTGTTTCCCGCGGGGTGGGAATTAAACCAGCCAGTCCCAGTAGGCTAGTTTTTTCCCAACTGTCAGTTGAATAATTTCAAAAGTATTTTTTGCTAGTGCAATAGTGATAGGAGTAATACAACAAGTTTATGTTTTAAATAGTTTTATTACCCCAATGAAAAAAACAATACTTAATTTTAAAATCTACACAAATCAATTAAATATACATCAATAGCAGTGTTTTACAGGGGTGGGAAGTCACTATCACCAACCCAGATCTACAAAACTTAGTTTTAAAAAAAAAAAAACACAAATATTTACAAAAAAAATTCCAATAATAATAAATAATATTTAATTGTTAAGAGTCGAAGGGCGAAAGAAGAAACAATTAATTGCACAACCACTTCATCTGATTGAGATATCGTGACTCCCCTGCCAACAGGCTCTCAGTGAAACCTGTGATTGTCGATTGGCGGGACCAATCGCAATCGCCTGTGTGGTCAAGCCAAGTCAGTAGCAGGGGACTGAGGACCCAACAGCTAAGCTGTGACACGAGAATCACCTGTATTTTACATTTGCGATAAAGAAGAGGAAATTGTTTGCTATAATGAATGAAATTAAAAAGCACAAAAGATATCGCAAAGTAAATAATATATACAGGGGGTAGCCCCAATCCAACAGCGTTTTGAAGCTGTGACGGGTATCGCCTGCTGTCCTTTTTTTTTTTGTTATTAACTACCAGCCCCCGAGTACAAACTTTGGTAAATTTTGACATAATAATAATAATAGTGAAAGCAAACATGTGACGTTAAAAATTATGTCAAAATTCACCCTATATATATACCAATAACACCTTGGATGATATTTAAAAAAAAAAAGTCATTTACCTTTTGATTGCATGGGCACTCACAATTTATTTTTTTTATTATTATCTACCATGTTTATAATATTAAGTTTGAAAGCAGGGAGGCGACTCTGAAAAAGTTGCCCGATCGAATAAAATAATAAAACTAGGATTGACAATAAATAATAAAGTTCTTATACAAGATTAAAGCACGAAATCGGAACAAACAATCAACTAATGGCACCTTGAGTAAGAGCAACGTCAAGAATTATATTTCCTGAATTATATATGAAAGTATTTAATTGATGAGATGTTTTGTGAAAGAAAGAGTTTCAAGTTTTCACTTGTCATATTTCTCATTAGGCCATGTCACCTAATAAACATGTATTATTTTTATCATTTTATTCCATCCCGCACCCTTTCTTTTCAGTCGCCTCCCAAACTAATAGAGACCTACCTTTTTTGCGTTTTTCTCAATAACAAATAGCTAGTTTTTCTAAATATTATTAATTTTCCAATAAATGAACAATATTATAAGTACGTTTCCAATGAAGGACAAAATGCAATAATTTTTGATTTTGGTTTGGAAAAACAGTTTTAGATCTTACCTTGATTATTTTCTTACACAAATGGGACTTGTGCATTAAAAATGATTGTCAGAATATTGTGTTTGAATGACAGAAATAGAAGTCACAAATTCAAGATTTTGGATAGTCACATAACAGTAGTTCAAATGTCCCATTTAAGATAAAGGATGTCATTGATATCATCTGTTATTTCCATGTTTTAAGATAAATTGATCATAGTACAGTGCCCAAGTTTTGTGGGCACATCGGGGTTACAAGCTAAAACTTGCACAGAATGAAGGTTTTACTATGCTAATTCAAAATCCCAAAGTAATACAAAATCAGAACGGGCAAAAGGGCAGAATATTCAAAATTGAATTTGAAGTTTTTGACAAAATTTGGACTGAAAAACAACTTTGAGGCTCAATTGCTCAGAAACTATCCGAGCTATCGAACTCAATTTTGCACAAATTTATAGAGAATTTAGGGCTCTTTCCAATGATGTATAATTTATTTTAATTTGCTTGAAATTTCCCAAAGATATGGGCAATTATTCATGACCATGTCAAGATTTGGAAAATTTTGAGGTCACATTCGAAAGGATAAATATCTAAGTGTGTTAATAGGTGAGTCTTCAAATGACTTTTTTTTTTAATTTTGCTTTACAAGTGTCACATTCAAAAGGATAAATATTCGAGTGTGGTGATTTGTGACTCTTCAAATCCGATTTTCGTATAAATTTTACTTTGCAAGTGTCACATTCCAGAGGTTGAATATTCAAATGCATTATCATGTGACTCTTCAAATTCCCTTTTCGTATAAATTTTACTTGAATCTCTTCATTATCCTGTTATTATCCATATTAAGATATACTTACTCCCATTTATATGAGTGATAGTGAGGAGATGGTTAGGAGTAAAAACCATGTCAGAACCTCAGTCTCTTCAAAATATTGGTAGCTATCGATATCAGATGATGATTTTCATGAATACTAGAGATGGAAAGGTAGTTTCTGATGTAATAGTCCTATCATCTCTATGTTGAGGTCACATTCGAAAGGATAAATATCTAAGTGTGTTAATAGGTGAGTCTTCAAATGACCTTTTGTTTAAATTTTGCTTTACAAGTGTTATATTCAAAAGGATAAATATTCGAGTGTGTTGATTTGAGACTCTTCAAATCCGATTTTCGTATAAATTTTAGTTTGCAAGTGTCTCATTCAAAAGGTGGAATATCCAAATGCATTATCAAGTGACTCTTCAAATTCCCTTTTCGTTTAAATTTTACTTGAATTTCTTCATTATCCTGTTATTATCCATATTAAGATATATTCCCATTTATATGAGTGATAGTGAGGAGATGGTCAGGAGTAAAAACCATGTCACAACCTCAGTCTCTTCAAAATATTGGTAGTTATCGATATCAGATGATGATTTTCATGAATACTGGAGATGGAAAGGTAGTTTCTGATGTCATAGTCCTATCATATCTATGTTGAGATCACATTCGAAAGGATAAATATCTAAGTGTGTTAATAGGTGAGTCTTCAAATGACTTTTTTTTTTTAATTTTGCTTTACAAGTGTTACATTCAAAAGGATAAATATTCGAGTGTGTTGATTTGTGACTCTTCAAATCCGATTTTCGTATAAATTTTACTTTGCAAGTGTCACATTCAAGAGGTTGAATATCCAAATGCATTATCATGTGACTCTTCAAATTCCCTTTTCGTTTAAATTTTACTTGAATCTCTTCATTATCCTGTTATTATCCATATTAAGATATACTTCCATTTATATGAGTGATAGTGAGGAGATGGTCAGGAGTAAAAACCATGTCAGAACCCCAGTCTCTTCAAAATATTGGTAGTTATCGATATCAGATGATGATTTTCATAAATACTGGAGATGAAAAGGTAGTTTCTGATGTCATAGTCCTATCATCTCTATGTTGAGGTCACATTCGAAAGGATAAATATCTAAGTGTGTTAATAGGTGAGTCTTCAAATGACTTTTTTTTTTTTTAATTTTGCTTTACAAGTGTTACATTCAAAAGGATAAATATTCGAGTGTGGTGATTTGTGACTCTTCAAATCCGATTTCCGTATAAATTTTACTTTGCAAGTGTCACATTTTTTATTTTTGTTTCTGCTTAAAATGGGCATTTGGAATTGATGTCAGGCTTATTTTCCACTAATTTTGACCCGCTTTTTCGATTAATCTACCATTATAAAATATATGAAAACAGTCATAAATTAATATTCTATATGTTCATGCAATAATCTCAATTTTTAATTATAGTGCCCTTTTGCCCGTTCTAATTTTATATCACCTTGGGATTTTGAATTAACATAAAAATCTTCATTCTGTGAAAATTTCAGCTTGTAACTCCGACGCGCCCACAAAAGTCAAAATATACTAACTAAAAGGAGCACTCTACTAGCAGAGAGGGATTTCTCTTTTTCCAATTAACTAAGAATGTAGTTGTCGTTGTAGACTAAAAATTCTTTTAGAATCATAATTTGTTAAGGACAAGATAACAGAATCATAAGAAAATTCAGTTGGGCATAATCAATTCAAGTCAAAATCCCAACAAGATGTTTGGAGAAAGCAAAAAATCTACAATGCATTTAAATGTACAAGTTTATACTTCAGATATTCACTCATGGTTTTTGAAGAAAAAACTCTATAACAAGTGGTGAGTTTTGAAGCTCATAGAAGTTCAAAACATATTTTCAAAAATCTCTTGATTATTAAGAATATCCTAACTGTGAATAGTTCAAAATGACGTCTCTAATAATTGACAGTCTTTTTAATGTACAGAATCCAAATATCATTATTATCAATACAAAATTCGTTAATATAGCGTGCTTTCTATCAATCCTTCTTAAATATTCTTAGTCTAAAAAAAAAAAAAAAAATAATGACCAACCTTTTCAGTGTACGATGTCATCCCAGGAAAAATGAAAAAAAATAAAAAATCTTACATACCGAGTGTCGCTTTGCATATTTTGCAAACCTGTCAAAAACAAAAAAAAAAAGTTAAGGTCAGTTTTTCTTTCGGGATGGTATTTGTTTCAGGACAATGCACTTGTTTAGTTAAATTTAAAAATACAAATTAGTATCCTCTGCCATTTAATTACTACTAAGAAATTCTGTGATCACAGATTTACTATAAGCAAATGGACTGAATTTTATAAAAATCATATTATAGATTTATATATTTTTAACTCAACAAATAACTTAATAATTTTAAAAATATATAAATTTATTTATGTATTAGCAAATATTAAAAGAGGAAATAATTAATTTATACTTAATAACTAAAAAAAAAAAAAATGCCACTTAAATTTAAACTTGCGGATGGTAGAGGATCATCATTGAAGATCATCTGAAACGTGGCTGCATAATCATCGGCCCTGCTGGAAACATGGGGTGCCCGTACATCATACCTGGAGGCATCTGGATCATGCCTAAAAAACACGGAAAGTCCCATTAGGAATTTTCTTCCAGGCAAATGTTCACTAGGAAATTACTTTCGCTCCTTCTATAGCGATATGCTCCAAAATATTTCTAGAGGTTAAGTTATATACGATAGTAGCTGGAAAGGTGTTATGATGATGAATGAATGATGGATGGAATTTGTAGAGTTTGGATAATAAATAGTTAGACATTAAATTACTATTTCGAGAATCGTAAAAGTGTCAAAGAATTTTCAAAGTTATTGAATTATGAGCCTCAGATTTTATCAATTTTTTTATGAATAATTTTCACAAAGTTTTTTGTGGTCCAGGCAATGAAGTAGTAAGAAGGTTGGAATGGGCTTTGCGTCATTCAATTGATCCCAGAATGAGATAGCGCTAGTAAGGGCAGGAAAAGGCTGTTGTTGGGGCAACTAGGGTGGGACTAATCCCCCCTGATTACCCCATTACAGTCTTCACCAGCGAACAGGCTGAGGAAAATGAACCATGGCCTGAACACCCCCACCTAGCTGGACAGCTACCAAGGTGATCTATATCCCTAAAGCGGGGCGCAAAGAAACCACACCCCCAATCATTCAGACCAATAGGTCTGACATCGTTCTCCTGAAAACTTTAGAAAAGGTGCTGGATGAGTGGATTAAGGGGAAGACGCTCAGGGCTAACCCTCTTAGTACCCATCAATATGCCTATCAGGCAGGAAAGTCCACAGAGTTGGTTCTTAGTAACCTTATCGCTAGTATAGACGACTCTCTGGAACGTAAGAGCATTGCACTTGCCGCCTTCTTGGATATAGAGGGAGCTTTCAAGAATGCAATGTCAAGCTTCCTTTACGAGGCAACAAAATCTAGAGGCATCGACCAGCTAATTTGTAACTGGATTAGGACCATGCTAAACGGTAGAGTGATAACGACTTCTCTACAGGGGGAAACAGTCAGGTTCAGAGCCGCCAGGGGCTGTCCGCAGAGAGGGGTACTCTCTCCACTTCTGTGGTCACTTCTGGCGGATGACCTCCTGGCCGTGATACAACTGTGGGGGGTCGAGGTTCAAGCATATGCGGACGATCTAATTATATTAGCCAAGGGTAGTTCTGAGACGAGGGTTTCAGCTGCACTCCAAGAGGTGCTGGACTGCGTGCTTGATTGGTGCGAGAGAGAGGAAATGACAATCAATTCTCACAAAATGGTCATAGTACCATTCACCAGGAGTAGAAAACTTGATAACTTGGTACCCCTAACTATTCGTGGAAAATTAGTACCATTCTCAAATGAAGCAAAGTATTTGGGAGTCATCCTGGAGAAGACTCTAAACTGGAACGCTCATTTGGAAAAAGTAAGCCAAAAGGCAAAATTGTCGCTTTGGAACTGCCACAGGATCTGCGGAAAGACCTGGGGAACAATCCCAAAACAGATTCACTGGATCTATAGCATGGTTATCAGACCAATGATAACCTATGGCTCTGTAGTATGGTGGGGCAATGCGAATCAGAACAGGGTTCAAGCCACACTTAGCGGACTGCAGAGAAAAGATTGCCTGGCGATAGCGAGAGCGTTGCGAACCACGCCTACAGCAGCTATGGAAATCCTCATAAACCTGACTCCACTCCAGATATACGTGAAGAGGGTCAACCTATCGGCTGTACCATGCTTCAAAAAGTTCTTTGGAGGGGAGTAGCGCGATGCAATACACGGTGCTTATGGGTGAAATAAATCGACACGGCACCCTCAGCATGCCTTCTGACCTAATGCCAAAGAAAACCAAATTTGGTTTGTCTTTCAAAACAATGATTCCCAACAGATAGCTATGGGCCAGTGGCAGGACCGAGCTACTGAGGGCAGATCTGTGCCTCTACACAGATGACTCTAAAGCTAAATATGGTGTCGGAGCAGGGGTATATGGTGTCGGAGCAGGGGTATTTGGTGTCGGAGCAGGGGTATTTGGTGTCGGAGCAGGGGTATATGGTGTCGGAGCAGGGGTATATGGTGTCGGAGCAGGGGTATTTAGTAAAAAACCAAGGCTGGGAATTTCGGTCAGCCTTGGCAAAAACGCATCCATTTCCATTCCAAATCTTCTTACTACTTCATTGGGTCCAGGACAATAGTGTTTATTTAATATTTCCTTCCTCAAACAATGATGAAGTAAAAACACCTTCAAAGATGCCTCAGTTATTATTAGAGTTCTGAAATCAAAAATGGAATAGTAACGTTTAATAGACACTTTTACGACCTGAAAATACACCAAAAGTCCCACCCAAATTACCAGGCGCGTTTAGTAAATTACAATGATTCAATTACACGTATAAAGTCTACTATAAACGTTAGTTATTATTTCAAGAGCAAATCGCCAAGACTAGATTTATTTTATTTTATTTATTTTTTTAATTTGGATATTGCCATTTTTTCAACCCATTACTAGTAACATTTATCTCTTCATAAAAATACTTACCTCAGTAAAATTAACAGTAAACAATAAAGCCCAAAGCAAAATGAAAATACATCGATCTACTCTTGATAATCACCATTTGGCTCAAATCAAACTAAAAACTAAATAAACATATTCCTCCACCACCAAAAATTTTAAACATAAAAATAAAGACAAATAAAAATAAAGATACAAGTTACTAATGAGCTAAAAACGGCAATATCCAAAAACCATCTACAGGTTTTCAGGTGATTAGTGAGTCATTCCTCAAATTCTAAAATTCCCCAACTAAAAGGCCAGTTTATCTATCTCCCGTTAACTGTCAGCGAACTTAAACTTAAATTTAGTATTGAAAAAAACCTAAAAGTTAACGGTAGATGAATAAATCGCTGCCTAAGGCATCACTGCGGCGCAGCATAGGAAAAACCAACCAAATCGACAGATGCAAATATAAAATACCATCAATCAAAAAAAATGACAAAAAACCAACCAGACCACGGCAAAACTAAGCGAGTGACAATTAAGTAAAAAATAGTAAATGTTGAATAAATAAATGCAATGCATGCTAACACATAAGAGTGCGTGAATTACTTCGGTACCTGCGTCATGGGACGTCCAAAAATCAGTCCATATATTTGACCGACATGTGTGTGACAACACTGTACACCGTACACGACTTTAATTTTTTACTGTCAGGAGAAAAAAAAAAACAAATGGGTTTGTATAAGTTAATAAGACTTTTCACTAATGAGTTATTGTCCCAAAAAATAATCAGATTTTTAGCCAAAAGTTGGTCCAGTAGTGCTAAATCCCGAATAAAAACTTTTATGATTTGCTTTAAATCAACTTTATTCAGTTGCAGTGATTAAAAAATAAACATCACCTCCAGAAAGTACAAAAAAATAATAAAATATCATTTATCTACACTAAAGAGGTATTTTAGGGCAGCAATTTTCATTGCTGAACAAAATACTTCTTAACCTATGTGAGCATAATCATGATCCCTTTATACCATAGGTATATAAAATTAGTTTGTAAAATCAGTCATTGGCTAAACATTTTTATAAAAAAATATATAGTGGGTTAGTGTGATAATTGAAAAAAAAATCAATGTATAAAAAAATTAAAATGTTAACTAAGTACACTTGAATTGTATTCACAAAACAACCTAATGAAAAGTTTGGTATCAAAATAATCAAGTCGCATAATACATTATATCTAATAACTATTAGAATAGTCCTTAAAAGTCCTTAGTTTTATAATACTCTGTTGATATAAAAATAGGATTTATTCCCAGGTGAAGTTTTCAATGTTAAAATAAAAAAGGAATTGGGTTTATGTAGTTGACTTTACTCTAATAAAACTTTTGATGAAACCCGATGTGTGATGTAGACAGAGGCTCCACCTAAAGAGGCGATGAAAGGATTCTGTAGCAACCTTGAAGCAAACTGTACCAATAAAGAAAGGCGAACTTTTTTTTACCCCCCAAATACCCCACATTGATCCGGAATGTTTTTCAATATATTGTTTTTGACATTTTGTATCTTACTACAGTACTACAGTCAATATTTTTTAATTATAATCAAATCTAGGCAAATGAAAGGAAGTTGCTGGATGGGTAAACTTTATTCAATGAATCAAATTGTTTCAGAAATAGTTTAAAAAACATATTACTCTGGTACTTTGATAACCACACCTCCAATTGCCTTATTTATCTTTTAAATTTATTTTTTCTACAACTGTCAAAAAATGATGATGTTCGCACACTCATGACAGTTTGCGAAGTGGCACTTTTTTCCCAGGTATTTATTTTTTAACGTTCCCATGACGCCGTGCGCGAACTAGCTATTTCGCGCACGTGTGCGCGAAATAGCTAGTTCGCACACTGGGTGTCATGGTGACACATACCTGTCAGGAAATCAAAAATAATTAAAATTCACCTACCTTTTATAGAAAATGCAATTCTGGCTTCGAATGATTGATATTTGAATGGAGTTGTAGAAAAAATATTGTTTGCAACTCGGGCGCGAAATACTTTGGTGATCGAGATCTGATTTTTTCAACGAGGCGCAGCCGAGTTAAAAAATACTTGATACAAAAATAACTATATTTATTCACGTTTAAAAAAATACATACATTTAAAGTGGTAAAACGTTTAAATTTAAAATAATCTGAAAATCTAACCTAAAACAATTCTCTTGGCCCGCGCCAGGAATGTATCTTGAGATAAACTAAAAAAGTTAAGACCCTCATAGAACTGATTTAAATTGGCAGATATTCTATTAACAGAACTGAATAGTAAGTACCAAGTACGACAGTAAGGAATGTACAGTAAAGATTTACTTTATGTCTGATAAGTTTGAGTGTGTAGGTAAAATTATTCAAGACATTCGTGGCTTTTTATGTGGTAGTTAAGGATATTAAAAGCAAAACAGACATCAAAGTATTCCCTTCTGCGAACAAAAGTAGTTAAGTCTAAGTAAGTCAAAGTCGCTGAGAATCACACCACTCACAGACAGTTTGTACCTAGCAAACTTGATCAATTTGTGTTGAACACTCTCTAGCCTATTGGT